ATCTACTGAGCTGCTTGCCGCAGTTCGGGAAGTGCTTGCAGGCAACGGCAAAAGGTGCATGCTGACCCTGGGATCGCGTGCAAGTTGCCCCATTAATATGTCCAAAGGTAGTTCTCCTCTGGGCCCATTGACAAAAGGTCCGCTATGCTCTTGTCCCATGATAGTGAACAATTCTCGGTCGGCTCGTAGAACTTGCTCCATTTGCACTTTCGAATATCCCGGGGGTGCATCCCTCGTGAGTTGCATCAACAACGATGGCACCCACTTGTCATGGACATCATTTGAAATCAACTTGCACTGGTCAAACGCCAAGCCACGACGTTGCAATGCCCATTGCATCAAGAGCTCATTCGATGTGTCAGCCTTGATCTTCGGTTCTCCTGCTGATAATTTCAACGTCTGTTGTTCTACTGTCAAAGTAGTAGGTTTCTCTTTGAGCGATTGTTGCACCTCTGCATCTCTCTTCGTGCACTTGCTTGGGGGAAACCAAATTATTGATCCGCTGTCGAAGATTCCAGCTACCAAATCAATCAACGCATATGATGGTTGAAGCTCACCCCTGATTGATAGCCCTCTCAACCTGGCTTGTTGGTCGTTGAGGCGGGCCACCTTCTCCACAGGGGGGAGTTTACGTCCACCTTCTATTCCGGCATCTGTTGAAACATTTGTCTTCAAATGGGCAACCACCATTGTAACTGCTTCGAAATGCAGTTGCCGCAACAAGGACAACATGGTGATGGATGGTCCTATGCCACCATTTATCTCTGTTGCAAACTCTCGGAACGATTCTTCACTAGCTGGTGTCTGCGGCGTCCCAATTGCAAAAGCCAACCTCATGAAACTGGTAAGGTTTGCGGCCGTGCATAAGTTCAGCAACTCACGGCTCCTGTCGATTGCATTGCAATGACTTGCAAAGGCAGCTTCAGAATCTACCAGGGCCATTGCTCTAGTTCTGACTGAAGCTCCTTCTACAATCTGTCAGAGCAATCCTGTTTGACAATGAAAACATTGAAAAATCGGTAACCTACAAAAAGAGTGGTCGTGGTAAATCCTGTGAAATCGTGTCCACTGTTTTTGATACTCTCTCGCGCCGTGTCTTGTTGAAACACATGCAAGTCTGAGATCAAAACGATCGCCGCTCGAAATGAAAAATTCGGAAATGGATTCTCAAGCGTTCAGGATGAAAAACATGAAACATCACAATCATGACTATTGTGATTTTCATGTACCTGAAAAACCGCATGAGACATCACTGTAAATCAAATTGGTCACGGAGCATGAAATTGAATATCACGAAAACGAAACTGAGGAAACTGCCAAACCCTTTTTGCCCTGCTGTTTCAGTCAAGCTTTGCGCGGAAACACTGACGGCACTTTGGGGTATCAAAGGCATGACGCGTTTGCGTTACCTTGTACATGTTGCTAGTCTTTCGACCGCAAAGGAAGACAACTCTGTTTTCAGTTTTCATCAAACGCAGAGTCTTCCACTTGCAATGCTGGTGCAAAACCGTGCCTTCTGGAGCAACTATGTCACGGTATGACACTTTCGGTCGCACCGTGGTCTCGACATCGGACTCTGTCTCACTACCTGTCGTTGCATGGTCGCTCAAAACAATCTCATCAACATCTTGAATTTCAGTTTTGACTTCATCTGCTAAGTCATGTGACTGGTCATGTGAAACTCTCTCTGCACTGCCAACGGGATCCTGCAAGGTTTCTGCGGGACGTCCTCCATCAAGGTTTGGCAAGCTGCTGAGTCTGCCACCGCGAGTGTCATTGGGATTGAAAAACTTGTCTCGGATTTCCTTTAACATGCACTCCAAAACTCTCAGCGGTCTCGAAGCACCATCTCGTGAGTACACAAGTGCCATCTTCCAGCTATGTGTGTGGTATCCCAAGCTGAGTCTGTCCTCAAAAGAGCAACCTCTTTTTGCAGCATAACTCAAACATGTCGCTTTCAAGGAGTGAGAGGAAAACCTATCTGTTTGTTTGTGCCGTCCACACTGAGGAGAGCACGCATCCAACTTCCAGCCTCCGACGAGCTCAGGGGTCTTTCCGTTGGCTCTTGCAGGGCATCAGGCGCTGGCATGAGTGGAAAAGATTTCAAATCATGAATGCCAAGCTGTCTGCGACAAGCACACCACTGAGCTCCCCAGTTACCTTCCACTACGCCTAGACAAGGTGCAACCAAAGGCAAAAACAAATGTCTGAGCTGGAGCGACTTTGCCGTCTTGTGGACACCTGTTGCCACCTCTATGTATGCACAGCTTCCTGACTCATCGAAGTCCTCCAGATGCTGTCACCATGTTGAGCATCACTCCAACGTGACCGGGCATAGACACAAAAAAGAAGCATCCCTGCAAAAACTTGGTTCCAGATTTCAGCATCTTCGAAAGAATTCTGTGTAACGTTTCAAGCTGTTTCACAGAGAGAGGTTCGGTTTGCTGAAGTTTGGGATCAACATCTAAGGCTGCAACACCTTGACATCGCCTGCTGAGTGTCAGTTCTCAACATCGCATGCCAGCGGTAGACGGCAGTCTGCCATTCAGAATCACGTTGATCCCTCCAACTCATGACTGTAGTGGTCTTGACATGGTCCATGAACGTTGCGGCAACTCTCACTGACTTCGTCTTACGTTCCAAAACCTCTGCACTGTCCACTTCAGATTTATCATGCGTTGGATCAACATGTCGTTTGAAAGTCTGTTCAAAGCTGCTAGACAAGTCTTTGTTCGGATCAAAGAAGTCATTCCAAAAACCTGTCTCCCAAAAACGCTGAATGCCCGCATGTTGCAAACGACTACGTGCCAGGCCAAAAGTGTTGTCTGCAGAGTAGCCCTCAATGCCAGCAGCGGCAACGTTCCCTGCTGAAGACTGAGCAGGTTCGGAAGGTTCATATAGTTGATTGGCATCACATGCACTGTCTGTAATGGGCAAACCCAACAAAGGTGTTCCATCCGAATAAGCACCAGCAAGAAAATCAACGTTGTGACTGTTTGCAAAACCTGATACCTCATTGTAATCAGTTGCATGCATCTCATCAGCAATTTCTTGCTCTCTGGTCAAACTACTCTCATGTTCAATCGCAAGAGCATCGTTATCAAGGGCAGCTAGACGTCTAACTTCATCCTGTGCAAAATCACCAGGAAAAACAACATGAGTCCAGTCTTCGTCTGCGTCGGTTTCCATCTATATAGAAACCCCCATTGCTCTTCAGGTTTCGAAAAACCACGAGAGTTCCCACCGCTCCCTCCCTTAAACCGAAAGTATCGGATGAACATAAATTAAGTTCCGTTGTTTTGGAAACCAAAGTTTCACTGACAACTAGAAACAGTGTGAGAAAGTTTTGTTAAGTAAACAAAACAATAAAAAGATGTTCAGAAACATCGCAGCAATAAACTTGCATGACCAATATCTGCAAGGCTGATTGCAAAACACAGAACAGCTAATTTTAGTCAAACTAAAATTTTTCCTTTTTCTGAATAAGGTTTGTATCCTCCTTACAGGAGGAGTCCCAACTTTCTCAAAGAAAAATCGAAGCAAATAGGATCACCAGTAGGTGTAGTTGCAGTGCCGCCAGCATCGCGAATTTCTCTTGGCACTCGTTGGTCAAACTTGGATTTGCCTTTTCCTTTTCCTTTCGACTGATATGGTCGAAATCGATGTGAGCCCTTTCTGGCTCCCTTTGATGCGGCAGCTGCAGGTTTCCCGGTGTGGCTGGAGCTTTTGCGACTTGTTTTGAAACTGCAGGCAACAGGGTAAAACTCACTTCGTAGGACTTCAAGGCTTCTTCCAATTTGGTATCAAGTGCGAAAACGCCAGCTGCATCCGGGCGTGGTTTCGTGTTGATTTCAATGAGGTTGCACCAGGCTGCACGATCGGCGGCCAACAGCTGGGACACGCTGCACCGTTGATATCCAACTGGCGGTTCTCTGTTCAGGGGATTGAAAAGTAATTGCACGTAGCGGTCATGTTTGGAAAATGACATGACCCCAGCAAAATCAAGTGCTAACCCACGCCGTTTGAAGGCCTCCAGTGCCTGATAGGAGGATTGTACCGTGGCTTCATGGTCAAGTTCCTTGTCTTTCACCACAATTTTTGATGCTTCTACCTCCAACAACTTTGCTGGGGCTTTTGTGGACACTGAAAGCTCTGTAAGGCGGCTATAGCATTTCTCCAGCGGGATATACCGCAGGATGTTTTGGTCATACATCTGTGATGCCTGGTCAAGCAAAGCATGGGAAGGTTCTGTGTGGCCCTCAATGAGCACACCTGCCAAACGTGTGCGAAGGTTTGCAAGGCGGGCTTCACGCTCAGCCTGGGGCACCTTTTTTGGAGCCAGCGGTTCTGGGTTGGTAACTTGATCTTTCAACAAGGCCAAGAGTTGCGTTTGGCTCTCGAAGAGCAACCTCTTGAGCGATGACACTCCTCCTATGGTTGCATGGGGGTCAAGCTGCCTGACCCAAGTCCCAAACTCTTCGTTCGAAATTGGTTGGCCTGGCTGGCCATGCGCATATGCAAGAGAGGAAATGGTATTCACCCCTGAGTTCTTCAACGCGGTTCTGAGCGCTGAAGGCACGTTGACTTGTTCGAGGCGAAGGTCAAATTGGGCTTCTGAATCCACAAATGAGGTCATGGCTGTCTGACTAAACGGCAGTGAAATGCGAAAAATGATGTCACAATGGAATAGCAGTAAACGAAAAAACTATCGAAATGCATGAGAACTGCATGCAAACATGGTGAGTGAAAAAGTCCCAACTGTTTTTGACATGCAAAAACGAATTCTTGAACCAGGCAACAGCGGCATGCTGTCGTATTGGTGAGGTCATCCCTCCAAGCTTGCAATGTTCCCATCAACACAACATGTAATGAGGATCATCCCTCAGGATAAATGCTGCGATTCACAAGCAAATGCAGGAGGCTCATCCCTCATGACGCAAGTGGCATGTCAAGCCACACAAGCAGCAACATTTTTTTTTTGCAGGCATCGGTTTGATGCGTCACTTGCGATTGCAAGACTTACATAAGACATTCCAGGCTGTGGCCTCTGTGCATGGGACGTAATTTGAAGACAAGCGTTTGCCACAGACCGTAAACTTCATGCCGTCCACTTCATCTCCATCATGGCGGTGGACAAGGTGGGACTTGGAGTGCACGAACCAGCACTGCCCCTCCGGGATCTTTGCTCTGAAGCGCTTGACCCTAGCAGTGGTTTCCATCACAACGGACTCCGATGAGGACAAATCGCCCCCAGACTCCGAGGATGAAGAATCTTCACCACCAAGTTCAGCTCCCTGTGGCCCATCAACCGCGCCATCATGTTCACCCAGGGCAAGCGGGGAAGGGCTCGGCACTTCGCTTCCAGTGTCAGCCAGCTCCACTCCACCACCAGAGAACTCGATGAGCTCACTGACAGCTGTTCCAACACCAGCTGAGCCCATGGCGGCATCACCAAAACCTGCAACGGCATCTCCATTGTCAGCTGGGCCAACGGCCTCCTCCCCGGGTGGGGTTGCAAAGAACTTGGAACGCTGTGAGTCAGGTGCAAAGCTCCCATCAGCAATGGCGTCAATCACCTTTTGAAGTTCAACCACTGGGGAACAGACCAAGTCCCGTGAATAGATTGCATATGTCTCGTTCAGGCAAGACGCATGCCGCCCAAGCAAAGACCTTGAAGCAGGACTGACTCCAAACCGTGCGCACCACGACAGCGCAGTGGATTTCAAGCTGTGGCTCGAAACAACCTCATCGTTCGAACCAGGAATGGGGTCAGGAGACCCAATGAATTTCCGGAGCAACACAGAAACTTCGGCAGACTTCAGGCCCCTTTGCATGAACTTATCAGGACCCCCTGATGGAGCCCGAAGCAAGGGACCGTCCATGGGAGTCTCCAGCACCATTCCAGCTTTTGAGAACACATCCAGGGCATCACCAACCCGGACGAGACCGTCTACACCCCTTGCAGGAATCACAATAGGCATGAGACGCGACTTCAAAATCGCCAGTCTACCAGTTTTATGAGTACAGGTCTGGACAGTCACAAAGCCCCCTGCACTCGTGAAGTCGGCCTCCACTGAGTGGATCATCGCGAGATCGCTATTGCGACACCTGCCATACAATGCAAAAAGCAAATATGCAATAACAGCGCGGTCCATCACATGAAGGCATGTATTGCGAAGGGCTTGATGAAGACCCTTAACTTGGGCAACAGTGAGGACCAATGATTGCCTCAACAGTCGTTTCTTTGACAACATCAGTTCGCAAATGCCTACCAACCTTCTGCTGCTCAGAGCGGGGCCCAGACCCTCAACTCCAAGTATATGGAATGCAAACCTGAACGAAGACAAGGCAGAGCTTCCCTTGGTGCAAGGCGCACACTCATCCCGCAAATGCTGGAAGTACCTCCATATGCACTCCTCTGAAAAAGGTTCAATGTCCAGAAACCCAGCCCTGTCAAACCATCGCAAATAAGACAGTAAAGAATTGGCTCTCTTCATCAGAGTGGCAGGTGACCTGGTACCCAGGACTGCTTCAACTATGGCACTGGCCCCTGCTGCTTGTTCCATCTCACTTCCCAAAGCCAGGATATGCGTACCGGTCGTGCTGCTCTTCAAATTGTGACGCAACACAACAAGAAACTTGTTTACAGCTGACATGTGAAGCTTGGCCTGTACGGTGTTGAACGGTCCATCGTCGGCTGAACCAATGCATCTCATAAAAACTGGTGATTTATCCACAAATGATGCAGCACCTGCCAGCTGTTGTCCAACCACTTGAGGCTCTGGCTCTGCTTCGACACTAACCAAAGCACCAATGGGCATAGCCGGAACTAAAGTCTGGCTGACTGGTTCATCACTGAAAAGTTCTTTGTAAATACCAGTTTCCCAAGGCAAAACAATGTCAGTAGCTTGACAGTTTGTGAGCAAAGACCTGGCAAAAATGGCCTCATTTGTCACTGCATTCAAAGTTGGTTGAGTGGCCGGCACTGCACATCGCCTGAACGGGTCAAAAGGTCCCGACAAGCTCGCACCCGTAGTTCCAGCCGCAGGTTCGAACAATGGACGGCCATCGCTACCACAACCTGAAAAGGCGGACAGGTCATCATGAAACTGGGGCACAAATCCATCAACTAAAGTTTCATCGGCAGGGTCATGAGTTGTACCAGGAAGAGGATCTAGACCTCCAAATAAAGGCTGCTCAAAACTATAACCTGGAAAATCGGAAGCATCACCATGAAAACCGTCAGGAACTGCAGGACTGTCATCTCTCAAATCCAAATTTCCACCAACATCCATTGAAAAGAAGGTCAAGACCCCCGATTAGCCGTAGAGCAACCACAAAAAGCAACTGACCCAACCGGCAATGAAGCAAATGCAACTGGAAAGAATAAGATAACAAGCTGAAGATGCCAAAACCAAGCAAGTCTGAGGTCCGGATGTCCCCAAGGTGATCGTAGATGACACGGCTACCACGCCGCGTTGTTGCGCCCCCATTTGGCACAGGCCAGCTTGAAATGACAAACTTTAAACGGGTGACATGAAATGAGTGAGTTACCAAGACCTAAACTGTGATTGCACAAACTCTGATTTCAAGGAAAACATGTTGACATCTGAAACTGCGTGCAGGTTAAGATTTGGCAAGGTTCTCGAAACAGTTTAGGTTTGTTTTGCAGGTTGGTGATCTTGCAAGTGGATATGTCGTTGCAAACATTTTTACACGGTTTGGTTTTACCAAGAGCCGGGCATACGATGCTCAGAGAGCAAAGGCAAAGAGGTAGGTCTTCTTGGCTAAAAAGTTTTTGGGGCACGAAAACTTTTTCCCGTTAGTAAATTTAAGGCGCTATCAACGTTGTTGACCGCATGCATCATCTTTGTTGCTCTGTCATGCATGAACAGCACAGTGATGGAATCATCGTCACTGACACCCCTTCCCGAAAAGCCGAAATCAAAGGAAACCACGGAATGCGTTGAACTGGAATGACCTTCACGCTGATGCTGGTCTTGCCTACTCTTGTTTGCTATGCAAAGAGTACACCAATCACGGAATGGAATGTGAGTGAGGCAATGCTCACTCATCTCAGCTTCTGTGGGCGTAGAGGGAACATGAGGTGACAATGCAACACGTTCCATCTCAGTTGACAACTGCTGCTCAACCACGTGGCTAGCAAGCAATCCGTCCTTGGAGAGGCGCTGCAAAATTGTCTTGAAGAGTTGAGGCCGATTACCAGTTGCAGCAATGCCTAAAACCGCGCAAGCTGCCTTCAAAGAGGCGTGAGGGGAGGCTGAGTTCAAGCGGACCCCATTCACCTCAACTTCCTCTGCTACGGCATACACTTCATCAGGCGCAGGCTCATCATCCGCTACAGGCAATGCGCTGGAATCCACTGCTACCGAAACTGGAGGCTGCCCTGCCGGTCCTGACACACCTTGTGAGGAAGAAGAAGAACTGGCAGTATTCGAGATGTTGCTGTCAAGCAAATCAAGCATTGACTCAAGAGTTGAAAAACCGAGTTGAGCTGGAGTGCAAGGGCCAGGATGGCAAAGTGTCAAAACTTCTTGAACACTGGATGGATCATCAATGGGTTCAGCAAGAGTACCTTGTACGTACGCGTCTGTGATGAACTGGTTGTGTTTGTACAAGTGCCACGAACCACCACGCTTCACCAAGATAGTGCGGTACCACATCAAAGTGTCTGTGGGTGCAAGTGTTGAATCAACGCACTCAGGCCTATAGGTCTTAATGCCAAAGCACTCAGCTCCAAGCTTGGTCCAGCTGGGCTTGACACGCTGCAAGGTTTCACCCAACTGGATTGCACGCAAATGACCAACGCAATCATCATCAGTCTGTTGAAGCATCCTGATAAAGCCAGTTATGCATAATGAATTGCGCCTGAAACCAACTGGAATGCGTTTTGAGTTCTTTGAAAGGTGAAGACCCAAATCATCGGTGCTGAGAACCCAACCATGCTTAAGCAGCCGACCAAGGGATACCAGAGGTGAAGTCACGGAAGCAATGATGAACTCCTCCTTGATGGATACGCCTTCAAGGTCAAGGCATGCCAGCCTGGTGTTTGCAACATCAAGTGAGGCCCCATGAGCGTCAACAAAATGCAAATTTTCACTTGGTTTCACCGACTTGCCAACATGTCCATAATGAAGTGGAAGAACTGAGCCATCTGCACCGCTGTCAAGAATGATGTCAACCTTTTCCGTGAACCCAACTGCGCGTACATGGTTTGAAAGGTCTGGGGCAAAAGTCCAGCAAGAGTCTGAGTCACTGTATGACATGTCGAAAACTGCAGCGTCACCAAAACCATGGGATACACAAACTGTTGAATCACCAGCATTCGAAATGTTTGAAAAAGGCGAAACACAAGAAACCATACGCAAATCACCATCTGAAATAGGAATCTCTGTCAGGTCATCGGTCACTGTGCTCCCAGCTCAAATCGCCGCACCTGTCCAGAAGCAGGCTGCAAATAAGTGATCACGGGCTGCTGTGACGTTGGGCCGCTCGACACACTCGATGCAGCAACACTGGGCGCAATTTGTCCACCCATCAAAACAGGAGGCGGAGGAGGAGCGTTGGACGCATACTGGGTTGAAGAGGCACTGGATTCATCGGCAATCTGTCTAACCTGACCATGCTGTTTGCCATAAGCAAACTTCCTACAGTCACGTTTCCAATGTCCTACTTTGCCACAGTACAAACATGCTGAGGAAGAAGGTTGAGAACCAAATTGCTGCTTACCCTTTCCCTTGGAATCCGGAAAACTGCCACCTTTGCCTTTCTGATGCTTGCCCTTAGACTTACCCTTTGAATCAAACTTGCCTTTGGTTTTGCTTTTCCCCTTGTGTTTGCCCTTGCCCCCAGACTCCAACCGGTCGATCTCCATTGGGGCGGGACCGTTTGGACCAGGAGTGGCGGAAATGCCAAACTCTGCATGCACACGCGATGAAGTCCAGCCTGTAGTTACTGTTTCGAAACCAAGAACGCGGTTACGAACCGAAGCATAGGTTGAAGTTTCATCCAAAGACAGCTGAACATGTTGATGAATGTGACCAGGCAAACATCGAACCGAAACGGAAAGAGAAACCTCGTCTGGCACTGGTGTTCCACAAGAACGTTGGTACTAAGCCATGAGCCTGTCGAGCCCCTGGACATGATCACGCAAACTCTTCTCTTCGGTGTTGAAATTCGGCAAGGACATCAAAGCAGAAAGCAAAGCCACGGAACGTGGTTTGGCGCTTGGTTTGTAAAGCTTCTGTAGCTGTCGATAGACTTCGAAACCGTTCCGACCGTTTACAGCTCTAAGCGTCTTACGCGATCTATTGCGAAGCAAACCAACAAATAGTGAATGCAACTCTTGCGATCTTGTTTGAACATCGTCTGGTTGAACATCCATGTCGAGCCCTGTGTCTAAATGCTTCTCGTTATCCTCAAAATCTTTCTCAAACCTGGGATCAGCCGCAAATAGCCAAGCTTTCAGATTGAGCTCGAAATCTCCCCATGCTGTCTGTTCCTGTTCCGCTCCCTGAGCGGTGAAAGGGTCGGGCATTCTAACCATTTTCCCAGCATTTGCATACTCGGACTGCGAACTCGCAGCTGCACCAGAAGAGGCAGCCGCAGAGCTGGGTTGCTGGGCAACAAGCTGCTGAACTGCTACTGATGCCTGCGAGGCGTTCTGAGCCGCCTCAATCAATGCATTTGCCAGAGCTACCGCGTCCGGTGGAGCTGCCTGCTCTGCCATTGTAAAACCGGAAGTAGCCTTCTAAAGGCCAAAGGTCTCCAAGACCAAACACCGTGGCTTCCAAAGCCTATATGCAAATCAAAGCAAGAAATTATGGCTGAACTCTGGATCTATGCTACTGGGGTTCTGGGTCCTGACCCGCCCCCACCAAGCACTCACTTTGTCCTAAGACAAAGATCACAGTGCTCCGCTACCATCACAACTTTTCTGCTCGAAACCAAACGCCTTACGTCTTGAGATTCATCTTAGATCATAGCCATTTGGCCATGAAGTGAAAACCATGCAAAACCAAACGTGGCAGGGCTTTACAAAACACCTAGAAGCATGTAGAGCTAAACTGAGGTATGTACGTGAGGTTTACAGCTAGTCAGTTTTGCAAAGGATAACATTCATATCAGTGCTTTCTTCTTTTCCAATCCAGATACCACCAAACCACTGACTGCTACCATCCTTTCTTTTCAAAGGTTTCCTAAATCCAAAGACAAATTCACCAAAAGGAACGATTGAGCCTGTATACTCTCTCCCAGTTAATGTTTTGGATGGAGTTGACTGCAATGCTCGATGACAATGCAATCGATTGAGGAGCCACACAGCATGTGATAGAGCATAGGCACGCAATCCATGTGTACCAGCCAATGCGCCATTGATTGCATCTTCAATGTGACAAACGAGCGCTGTCGCTTGATTCCGAACTGTTTGAAACCTTTCAACCTTTGCAGTACGACCTTTGCAATGTGGTTTACCAAGAAGCTTTGTTGCTTTGAATCCCATTCGTTGCCTAATTGAAATCACCATACCCAACAATGCAATGGTTGAGGGCCCACCATCCATGACAAATTCGACATCATGTTCAAGATACTGAAGTTCCATTGAAAATTTTACAATCTCCTCTGCCAAGTTTCGCGTTGCACTCTTTGACGCCGCAGGAATAATTTTACCCATTCTCGTCCAGGAATCAATCGTCAGCAGAGATGGGCAATTCTGCCCAAGAAACATGAAATCCATCTGAACCTGAGGCTTCCCGCTATCCTCAGTCGCATAATCTGTAGAATGATGGCTATAGTCACTTCGAGATTTGCTCTTCAAACAAATACTGCACCACTCCAAAACGGCAAATGCGTCGGACCTCCTCTTCCGAAGGGACTGAAACCCCACGTCGAAGATTCACTGGAGGACCTTGCATCTGCCTATTCAATCGGTTTGCTGCCTCATCCAACTGCTGTGGCAATTGCATTTGAAGAAATCTTCCAATCCTCTCAAAAAGTTTCGTCTTGGAACCTCCTTGGCTAATCCCCAAATGTTTGCAAGCTTCCTTCAAAGAATTGGATGTGCTTTCAACTGCGATCTCCTTTCCATTTACAGTCAAAACATCAGGAACTTTGACATGACCACCTGCCTCATGATCGTGGCGCTCCGACATCACTGGCTGTAAATCATCTTGCAACTCAACTGGAACACCTCTTTCTGGTTGAAAGATGTCCCCGCCTTCATAGGCATCCATCTCACCAACGTCACCTTGGCGCTGATTATCCATAACGATCGGACCTGGAAAAGCAGAGGGTTCAATTGCACATTGACACTCTGACAAATCAAAGGGACGTCGATTCGTGAAGGTCAGGACCGTTGTAGAAATTAACAACCCAGGAATCTCTTCGCTAAGATCTTCTGGACCATCAATGTATCGGCTCTGCTCGACAACTTCCCAAGAATCTCCAATCTGAACAACAGTTGTTCTGTAACGCCAAATGTTCAAAGGTAATGTGGAACGTGGGTCAAGGACAAATCTGCTGGTCCTCTTACTCACAGGGAGTCCACGGTCAAGAAATTGCCAGCCTTGCTGAAGTTTTGCAACATCAAAAGTGGGTCTCACCATGATCGCTTTGTAAATACACCCACGCAATGATAAGGAATTTTGCTTGTAGTGAACATCCACCAAACACTGACCATCAGGAGAAATCAACGTACCAACACAGTTTGGTTTTGAATTAGCATTAAACTTCCAACCATTTTTCAACAGTCGACCCATCGAGAGAAGAACGTTTGTAACATTTGCGACAACGAAATCCTCCACCACTGAACAAATTGAAAATTCATCACCATCATCCTTTTGAAGTCTGCACTTTACATTAATGCTTGCTCGTTTCATCTCGGTGCAAGACAATGGGCAACCTTGGGCATCCTCCAGAACCATTCCTGAGTTGACAGAACTGGAGATAGAACGTCCTTTGTGACCATACCTCAGTGGAAGTAGGGAAACGTCTGCACCGCTGTCCAACACAATGTGTTGTTCATCAAGACCTCCTTCATCAACTGTTTCAAAATTTGCCCCATCAGAATTTTGACCCGATGAAATCGCTGCAACCTTCAATGAATGAATACCTCCATCCCTTTGTGATTTTGAGCCACTCACTCCATCCGTGATGTCCTTGAACTGGTACTTGTCCACGCAATCAATAGGTGAAGCAAGCCATGAATAAAATCCATCTTCCAAGCTGTCAACATCAACTAATTCATCTTCTGCATCAAAAATGGGAACGTGAAAAACTGAGAAATGAAATTGACAAGAAACAGCACGAACCTTCCAAGTATCACTCTCAGCTTCAGATAGAGCACGCTCTGAAATATAACCCCTTGGAGTTGAAACATCATATAAATGAACAAGTCGAACACCTCGATATGCTGTTGCACTTGTTCCTGCACCATTTGCTGAAACACTTGAACCAATTGCTGTGGAAACAACACTGGGCGTAACATTTTGCTGCTGCTGACCACCAGATTGAGACCTAGTGGCATCCGAACCACCTCCAACAGCTGAAACTTCTTGAACACGTTGAGGACATTCGTTTCCCCAATGACCAGGACGGCCACAAATACGGCACAAATCGCTGTTGCTCTTGCCGCTCTTTCCTTTTTATTTTCCTTTTCCTTCATTTTATGATTTTCCTTTGTAATTCTTTCCTTTTTGCTTTCCTTTGTCCTTTCCTTTTGATTTGCCACCATAGCCAAAACCTTTTTGGAACGCACCTGACGCCCATGATCCCCAGCTACCATAACCTTTTCCTTTACTCTTTCCCTTATTCTTTTCTTTTCCTTTCCAGCCTTTGGTGACTGAATCGACTTCCATTGGTGCTGGGCCTTGATTTCCACTTGTTCCACTTTGCGAAGAAAATGATGTTTGAACATCCCTGATCATATTTGACATGTCCCATGTTCGTGATGAACGCTCAAAACCCAGGATGATTTCACGTGCCTGCTCGTAAGTTGTTGTCGAATTCATCGATAATGTCAAATGTTGTCTCAAATGAGTAGGGCTGCATCGAATCAACACACCAAGAAGGATTTCCCTATCAAAGACTTTGTTGTTAACCATCTCATATTCTCGAACCAGTTGTTCCAGTGCAGCAATTGGCTCTGACAATGGTTTTGATTCAGAGAAACATGGGAATGATCCAATTGCTTGCGATAATGCCAACGATCGCTGACGAGTTTTCGGGCTGTATTGCCATGTCAACATCTGCCAAAGTCTGAAACCATTTTAATCTTCTCCCAAAAGCCGTGAAAGTTGAAGCGCAGGACCACGTAAATACGAAGTCAAAACAACATAAAGTTTCTTTGACATCTCAACATTTGCAGATGTTTGACCAGACATTTCAATTGGGTTTTCGGGTCCTAAATTTCCACATCTTTCAATAGATCAACAAAACGACTGTTTGCACATGAAATCCAATTGAGAAAAGTATGCCTCCACGTCAACCAGTTCACGCTATCACCAGAATCAAAACACTCAGGAGACTTCAAAAACTTTGCAGCTGATTCAAAAGTTCTGTTCAAAACAGATGAACTGCTAGCCACTGGAATTGAGCTTGCCACCGACTGTTGCACTGACTGAGCCGTTGCTTGCAATGCATCCGTCTGTTGTCGAACAAAATTGCCATAAATTGTTGAAATTGCTCTGCGTCCATTCCATTCGTCCCACGCACGCTTAGAAACAGAATCGCAAAGGTCAAACTTCTAAACTTCAAACGCTGAGCCCGATTGGCTCCCTTCACACAACCGCTCAATCTCTTTCTGGTCTGAATAGTGAATCCCCTTTTCTTCACCGGATGGCTCAAGCGCCAAACAAAAGAGCTGAATCTCTCGAATACCGCCACCATCATCTTATAAATACCAACGCTAGCCAAAAGGAAAATGACTTGCAATCCCAGGAAATCAATCGTGGCTCCCATCCACGTCCCATCTGCGGCACCAATCCACAGCTTTGAATCTCCATATGCAGTTCCAATCTGCATTCTCACATTCTGACACTTCATACCCAGCTCCATCCAGAAATCTGCGGTTTTCGAATTGATACCTTCATAGCATACAGGGTTCATAGAATCTTCTGAAAAAGGATTGAAGGTGAAATCCAGTTTCTCATCTGCATGCCAGGCAACTACCAAACGCACAAACGCTAAAGCTTGAAACATTCTCGTTTCCTTTGACCTGAATCTCAAAGCTCCGCTACCATGTAAGCGGTCAACGGTAACTAAACGCTTCTTTTGATCTAAACGGCGCTTGAGCATCGAGTCTCCAAATGTTCTCATGCGAAAGCAAATGCAATGGAAAATGACATATTGGGCTATACATCAACAAAGGAAAATGTGGTACATATACGGGTATGCAAATTTGACCAGTTTTGATTGGAGTTGACTGCAATGCTCGATGACAATGAAATCGATTGAGGGGCCACACAGCATGTGATAGAGCATAGGCACGCAATCCATGTGTACCAGCCAATGGGCCATTGATTGCATCTTCAATGTGACAAACGAGCGCTGTCGCTTGATTCCGAACTGTTTGAACATACCTTTCAACCTTTGCAGTACGACCTTTGCAATGTGGTTTACCAAGAAGCTTTGTTGCTTTGAATCCCATTCGTTGCCTAATTGAAATCACCATATCCAACAATGCAATGGTTGAGGGCCCACCATCCATGACAAATTCGACATCATGTTCAAGAT